ATTGCTTGTATTTTCTTTTTCTGACAAATTTCTCAAATCACTACTTTTGTGAATGACTGTTTGTTCATGTTTAAACTCCAGGTTCTTTGCTGGGAGACAAGTGAAAATGGATTAAAAAGATTGAAGTCGAGACTCCTAGATATATATTATGAGAAGATTCTCAAAGTCAGATCTCTCACCAGATAGTATCAATTAATAAATATGTTAAATATCGATTTCATACTACTAAAAATTGTGGCTTCTTGATCATCCAGATTGATAAGCCAATGGATGGGCTGAAAGAATGGTTGGATGCACTGTATACAGCGGGCGTCCCTTGTGCTATCGTATCATGTCTTGACCGAAGAAACATGCTTCAAACTTTGGAAAGGATGGGGCTGAACAAATATTTCCAGGTATGATATCTTTGAATTAATTAATTTGTTTATTGAGCGTTTCTTGTGTATAAATGTATAATTATTATCTTTATGTAGGCTTTTGTCACTGAGGAGGATGGAATGGAGTCAATAGCTCATAGATTTCTATCAGCAGCTGTAAAGGTTTGAAGATGCTTCACTTTCTTTTCATCTAAAATTTCTAAAAATATTTTCACTTTTGAAAAAAAAATCTATCACCTTGATCCTTGGAATTTCAGTTGGATAGAAAGCCTTCCAAATGTGTAGTATTTGAAGATGATCCGAGAGGTGTTACTGCTGCTCACAATTGTACAATGATGGCGGTGGCTTTAATTGGCCCTCATCGTGCGTAAGTATTACTTACGCTCTGCGGATATTCATTTCCATACTGGGTTATTATATACAATGGATGATTGTTGCTTGTGTTAGTTGCTATATGTACCTCTTAGCCTCTACTAATGTCTTGTACAGCATTCTGACATGTTTAACACTGTAGATTTCATGTTGCAGAGTTTGCATAAGTTTTGAGTTGGCTATATATTTTAAAGTTTGCATCTAAGCCATAATTATTTTCTAATTCCTACCATGATTTCTTTCTTTAAGTTTTGACTTTGTACATAGATGTCTATGGAAGAAAAATTACTTGAATTGTATTCTATTAATTCCTATTAACTTTTACTCTTTTTGCCCCCAAGCCCTCTAGATTTCTCCTCATGCATTGTCCTTGCCTTGGTTTCTCTTTGCTATGCTAAATCTAGTATCTGTTGAATACTCTTGATTCTTAAGATGTTGTCTCTATACTTCGAGCTTTCCATTAATTTCGTAAATCCTGGTCCTGGCTTCTCACATGAACATCGTTATAACTCAATATATTGCAGGTATGAGCTGGTGCAAGCTGATCTTGCTGTTGGGAGTTTCAGCGAGCTCTCTATAATCAACCTTAAAAGGCTGTTTGCAAACAGAGGAACAAATTTCATGGATTTACAGAAACAGATAATCGAGAAATCACCTCCAAAACGAAAGCTCATGATCGACACAATCTTCTGAAATGTATACTTCTGCCCTAATTTTTAATTTCCTCTCACATTACAGTCCTGCTAGCAGTCGTTAGCGGGAGAAAGTTGTGTATATATGAAGTAGCTTCAGTTACTTTGAAATGGTAATGATCCTTCTGTACAGTTTGAGATCTGGGGTTAGTAGAGAGCTCATTTCAGCATCATATCATTTTCATGCATTTCTCTTTCTCGTGTGCCCCAATTCTTAGCCGACTTTTGGTAATTAAAAGTTAGCAATATAAGCTTGTTTTGACTGCCGGCTGCTTGCAAAATGTTGGCTCCTTCGTATAACTCATACTTTTTTATCGGAGTTATCGTGATCTGAGAATCTTAAGCTAGTCCCATCCCCGTGGACATTTTTTGAATGAATGCATATTCCTATGCTTATTGTTATATCTAGTTGCATTTTGCCAAATTGGCACATTTTGCCAATTGGCCAATTGGCACATTTTTGAATGAATACGTATTTCTATGTTTATTGTTATGTCTAGTTGCATTTTGCCAGTTGGCACGTTTTGTGCCATGGAGTCCTTGCCATTCACCAACCATGTGGAGCCTCACAAATGTGGATTAGGATCCTCTCCACTATCAAAATCTCCACTACCAAAAAAATAATGGAGAGGCAACTATTTTATCACAAACATTGATTATTTAGTTAATAACTGTAATTCTTTTCTAAGGGTTTGTTTGTTTCGCCAACCATAAAAATTTGAAATTGAAAACATCATGGAAATTATATTTCCTTGTATTTGTATAGATTTCCTCAAAGTAGTTGCTTTTTGTTTGTTTCACATAGAAAACATGGGTGTAGAAATATACCCTTTATATTTCCTCGATTTCTTTTGATTTGTTGAGGAGTTATAACTTGGAAAAGAAAACAACAAAAACCCAATTTTCATTATTATATTTGTTTAGTTGGAGATGAAACATGGTGGAAATGTAGAATATGCTCACCATAGTAAGTTCACCCCCAAAACAAAGACTTCTCCAAAATGAATGCCAATATATACATGTAACCGCAACTCAAGCTATGTACATAACTAGCTTGAGGCTAAATAAACTCACATTTCAAGCAACCAATGGCTATAAATTAGCTCAAAAACCAACAACAAGCTGAATAACTGATTGTATATGCTACAAACTGGCTATAATTTAGCCCAAAAACCAACACCAATATGAATAACACCTGCTCGTAAATAGAAACTAACAATAAACTGATTCTAACAGCCGTAAAATGGCTATATTTTTGCCCAAAACCCAACAGCAACTTGAAGACAAAAGCCTCACAACGGCTATATGTTAGCCCAAATTAACAAAAATCAATATCAACATGAAGATACAATCATAACAACGACTAAATTTGCCAACGGCTACATTTTAGCCCAAACTCCTACATGATATGACACATATCCCAATGGTAAAAAAAAAGTAGACCTAACGGCTAAATTTGCCGCAATGCCTATATATACAAGCACCCAATATGTGTATAATACTCATGATCTTTCATTCTCTCCTATAAATAAGTAATAAAATTCTTCTAAATTTTTTTGAGCAGACATAGCAAGATGAACGTATTCAAAGGGTCTCAATAAAATGAAGTTTGATGCTATTGTCAAATCCCGACACCACTTAAGATGTGCAAAAATGGTAAGAATAGGGGTAAATATTTTTGGGGTTGTGCAAAATAACCAAGTAGGCAATGCAACTTTTTTGTTTGGGGTCTAGATGATAGAGAAAAGAAGAGAGTCATGCAAAATTTTAAGACACTGAAGATGAAATATGAAGAAAGTTCCAATATCAAACCGCAAGATGAAATAAAAATGAAGAGAGCAAGTCAAAAGTTTAAAAATAATTCGTCAAAGTTTGAAAGTGTGAATGTAGAAGATAAGGAAGTTTCGAAAACCAAACAAATTGAAGCAAGAGTTGAAGCAAGAAAAACGTGAAGTTGATCGTTGGAAATCTGGTGCAATTTTTTATGTTCATTTTGTATGCTTCTTATATTATCAAACATTGTAAGTTGTAACTTGATGAAGAATATATGAATGGTTGAGTGAACATATGGAAATATATTTAATAGTGAATATATGTGCTCAGATTTGGTCACTGTCATCAAGGTATGCCCCACCAAAGTTAGATGTTGATAACATTGTAGGCTGCATTATTGCCACGCCTACACAATGAATCAACAACTCATGACTACATATATCAGATTATGACAATCATCATAGCAATACATAATATGTAGTTTTGAAAATTTGTGAAACACATGCTCTGGAAATAGTCAATAGAAAAATCATGAACTTCATAAGTTTCATAAAGGCACCACTACGCATTCTAACATAGTTTTAGTATTCAATTCTTTGTTCATTTTGATTTATCTTTTCTTTACTAGGACCCCTACGTATACTTCTACGTCTACTTTGCATTCTCCTCGAAGTAAATACTATCACCATCACGGAAAATGCAGCCCCCCAAGACCATTGTCATAACCGTTTCTTCATCAACACAGTCACCATCCATCTACAATACCCACAACTATGTTACACACAGTTATCAACTATATAAATCTTATGACCATTCACAATAACGAAAACGAGCAGATATAGAAACGATAATAGAGCTATACAATTATTTAAATTAACAACAAAATTTTAAAAGCAATACAACGTACAAACCTATATTATGAATTAGAAACATTGAACTCATATTCAAAGAACAAACGACCATTTAAAATTTGTTTTGATAGTATATTTTAAACATGAATTTCTTCGCTATGTCCAATGTACGAATATAATCAGCGAGCCTTGCTTATTGCCCAATTACTATTGTATTTATCTAGAAAATACAAGCTTACATAATTTTCAAGATGCAAACACACTTTGTTTAGAAACTCAAATGATGAAATATGATCGTGCTCATAGGTTCAATTTAAACTATTTAAGTTTCAATATAAGAAGCATATCACCAACCTCCAAAGTAATAATCCCTCAAATCAATATGGATTACTACAATTTCTAAGCAACAAGTATTATAGTTGTTGGGAATTCAACGTCTAAATCCCTAATGCAACAGAAACGTAGAATAGAAAAAGTACACCAAGATTTACGAGGTTCGGCAACTGCCTACGTCCTCGGGAGCCACACAGTCAATTTCTTATTAATCAAACAAGAAATTACAAATCAAGAGCAAATCCCAAAACTGAGATTTCTCAAAGATGAACACTGTAGCTACAGTGTTAATAATTAAAGGGAATAATCCCTTTCAATTATCACTTGAGATTAAATAATAACCCCACAATATAAAACCCCTCTTAGTTCTCTCTCTGCTGCGTTATTTTTGGTGCCGCCGCCAGAGAGAAATCAGAGGAGAGAAGCAACACAAAACCCTAGGGCGACGAGGGGTTTATATAAGCAAACATGACAGGCTGGCGACAGCCTGTCGCCAGCCACGCGAAGACGCGGACGTCGGAGCGCCAAAACGCGGACGTCAGAGCTTGGACGCGAGGGTCGGTGTCCCAAACGCGAGGGTCGGAGTCTGAAACGCGAGGGTCGAATTTCCCAAACGCGAGGGTCGCATTTCCCACAATTTGAGCTCGCCTGCTCGAGCTCCACCTGAAATTGCGCCTGCAGTTCACCGTCGACTTCGCCTGAGTCGACGTCTACGCTCGCCTGCATAGATCTCAAGCTCGTCGGAGCTTCGCCGGAGCTCCTCGCCGGAATTGAGGTTTGATCTACACCCCTTTCTAACAATCTCCCACTTGGAGATCAAAACGCCGTCAACGGGCTATCGCATCAAGCTCCTCTCCTGTGTGGCTCCGCCCTCATCATCTATGCATGAAGGCCAACTGAAGTTGCGCACAACTCCAGTTTCTGAACGGTCACCGTCTTTGTTAACATGTCTGCTGGATTCTTACTTCCTGGAATCTTTTCCAGATTCAACACGTCATCTTCCAACAGGGATCTGATGAAGTGATACCGAAGCCCAATATGCTTCGTTCTAGAATGAAATGCTGAATTCTTCGCCAAGTGTATCGCACTCTAGCTATCATTGTGCAAAACATTCTTCTCCTGTTTGAATCCCAGCTCTGTCAATAAGCCCTGAAGCCATATCATCTCTTTACTGGCTTCCGTTACTGCAACATACTCAGCTTCTGTAGTGGATAAGGTAACGATCTTCTGTACCTGTGACATCCAACTAACAGCTGTAGTGCCAACGGTGAATACATAGCCGGTGGTGCTTCTTCGGTGATCAACTTCGCCGCCAAAGTCTGCATCTACGTACCCTTGCACTTCTACCTCTCCCTTACCAAAGTGCAAACACTTCTGTGTGGTGCCTCGTAGATATCTCAGAATCCACTTGACCGCTTCCCAATGAGCTTTTCCTGGATTCGACATAAACCGGCTGACCACTCCCACTGCATGGCCAATATCTGGTCTCGTACAGACCATAGCGTACATCAAGCTTCCGATAGCTGAGGCGTAAGGTACCTGAGCCATACTCTCTTTCTCTTCTTCTGACTGAGGAGACTGATCCTTCGATAGACGAAAATGGCTGGCCAAGGGTGTGCTCACAGGCTTGGCGTTGCCCATGTTGAATCTTTGCAAAACACGGTTGATGTACTCCGTTTGAGACAACCGCAAGAACCTTTTCTTCTTGTCTCTCGTGATCTGCATTCCAATGATCTTCTTTGCTGGACCCAAGTCCTTCATGTCAAACTCTTTTGACAGCTGCTGCTTCAAACTCTTGATATCCTCCATATCTGCTCCTGCAACCAACATATCATCAACATACAGCAGTAGGATGATATAGCTGGACTGATATCTTTTGAAGTAGCAACAGTGGTCGGCGTTGCACTTCTGGAAACCTTCCTTATGCATAAAGCCGTCAAACTTTCTGTATCACTGTCTTGGGGCTTGTTTCAGGCCATACAAGCTCTTCTTGAGTCTGCACACCAGGTTCTTCTTCTTTTCTTCTGAGAAACCTTCTGGCTGGTGCATGTATATCTCCTCTTCTAGATCTCCGTGAAGAAACGTCATCTTCACGTCTAACTGCTCGAGATGAAGATCTTCAATTGCTACAATACTCATCACAGTCCTGATAGTATTTAGCTTCACCACGGGAGCGAAAATATCGGTGTAGTCAATTCCTTCTTTCTGCTGAAAACCTTTGACAACTAGTC